TATTCATTCTAGGTATTTGGTGATCCAGTCGTAGGCCAGGGTAAACATAGAGGCTGGATACATTTTTTCCTGGATGCATAAATTAGGTCTTCTGGAGTTGATCCAGATGGCTTCGGCTGTGTAAAGTAGTCGTAATCTAGCTCCTTGAGGTAGATATTTTGGAACTTGATATAAAACAGAGAAAGCTTCCTCTACTTTAATATGATGTTCACTATCTACCAAGTGAGAAAGAATGGTGCTGTTAATCGATTTGGTGACTCCTTTTCCCAACCATGCTGGTACATGTTCACGAACACGCAAAGTAAATTATTCTTTATCTATGCCGAAAATATGATCATACTGCTACTTTGAATTATTTAAACAAGCTGGGATTTTCAATTCATGATCGCTAAAACGTTCTAGTTGAATGAACCTAACTAATTTACTAGGTACAGATTCGTAGACTTGGCTTCCAGCTACACACTAAGTATGAGGGCTAACTGCCAAAGAAAAAAAATGAAGGGGGTGGAATCGGGTTTGAACCTGAGAATTGATGGTCAAAAGTTACAGATTGAATACTTATGAATAAAAGTCTAGCGGTACAATCGGATGTTTTTAGGACGATTAAATTACAAAAATACAATGTATTGGGGAAAAGTCAACTGTAAGATAGTACATTGACTATATATTGACTGAATCCTAGTGCATTCCAAGTGTTCCGACCAAAAAAGCAAGTTAGATAGCCACGTATGATAAAAGTCGATGAGCTCACATGGTCACAGCAGCAAGATGTCACCACACCAGTCACTTACTCAACCTAGCTCACAACTATTGTCTTCATAGAGAAGCTAAACGGATCGTTGATAATCTGTGCTGACATTTTAACGGATCTTCAGAACATTATCACCATCCTCTCTTAGTAAAGGATGACCTATTTAAAATTCCTAACGGTAGATTTTATTTCGTAAGACTTGACAAAGAAAACTTATACTGACTGGAAGATATTGCTTCACAATACCAGTCAGTCAGCTACAACGTAGGACCAGGCACATATATGTATCAGTCTTACTGACTATAAAGGTACACTATGGTGTATCCAGGATACCCAAATGAAAACTGCAGCTGATGGACACTATTTAATCTGATATTCCGAGTATATTATTCTCTTGATGGTTTCAAAAATCGCCGTTAGACCTTCGTAGTAAAGTGAAAGCAGTAATACAATGGATTTTCGACGATAGGTTCAGGCCCCGCCATTAAGTATCAATTTTTTAAGGCAGTGAAAAAACTAAATTTTATTTTCTACCCCTGTACACGCCGACTGGACGCTAAAAGCTTGGGCTATTCAACAAATGACAGGACCTAAAGATATGTTTTCATTTAGATCCTTTCTCAGATACAAATCAGCTCTCATGCCATCTTTTCACTACATTGTCTACTGAACTACCTGCTTGGGAAGGATGTACCATGGGACTGGATTAAAGAATAAGAACCAGATACTTTCAAGTCGACTACAGTTATAATATTAATCCTGGTTATTTTGCTTGATATCTTCAGTTTACTGACACACGAAGAGACTCAAGTAGCACGAACATTTGAACCAGATTTACGAGCAAGGTGGGACAGACGCTGGAGGAAGACGGTATACTTTTGGGTGAACCCAAAGTAGTTTGCAATGATTTAGGAAGGGATATTGGAGATAATAAATCCCCGAATACAGCGCATCAGAAAGAAATCAATTGTAATGTCTTACATTGATTTAGGGTGATTTCCTTTCATTTCACTTCTGTTCAGTATAAGATTTAATTGTATTAATTTTGTGTGACAATTTTGTTAACTAATAATCACTAAACCCAATTGAGTGTGAATTATTCTTCAGTCATTATTAAATAAAACTCCCAAACAAGATTTGTCTTCTGCAATAGCCAGGGCTAGAGTTGTGGCATCCCGTTAACGAAATGTAGTTAAGAGCTACCGCTTTTATCACAATTATATTTAGTATATGCCTTAAAGGAATGTTTCTTACACTTCAAACCAAGCAATTGTAAGAAAAACACAAGTATTTCGATTTATTTCTGTGTAGTAGTATAAGTGAATTGTCTATGTTATTCATGTTCATTGCTCTCGCTCGCTCGCTTGCCTGCTTGCCTTTCGGCACAACTCTTCTATGCCTGTTTAACGCGTCTGTAATTTTAAATACCTGTGTGTGGTCCCGTAATAAACGTAATCAACACTTTGTATTCGCCTTCTGATTAATATACCGTTGGGGCGTTATATAGGACGGTTATCAAGACGAACTGCATACGAATTTTAAGGATTATATCGAATACCGACCACCAGAAAATCATTGTGAAATTCGGAGCTCATAAACCACTTCAAATAGGCGTAGATACACAAAAGTACATAAAATCCGAGTATAAAATAATCACTACTCCATTAGCTGACATATGACAAGTATTATTGCAGATTACTATAAAGCAGCGTAGAAAGATATCAGGCATAGAAACTGATTACATGTAAAACAAAGTTAAATAAGGATGGTGTTGGTGAACGAACATCACTTATAGCGAATAAGAATTTCATGTTCTGTAGGCTACCAAATAAATCCCTAGGAAAACTGATTTTAAAGCAGTTCGGAATTTCGAATACTTCCCATGTTGATTAAAGCGAAAATTATTCCATAGTTATATGGACTCTTGATGTGAGTTCAAGCAGAAAGTACAAATATGTTTCAGAGCTGTGTTTTATTTCTAGGAAAAAAATAACGCAATTCTCAATAAGACTATTCCTTTCATTTTAAGTATTATTCAACAACCATATGCAGCTTTTCACAACGGAAATGTGAAATTAAAACAAATTTGGGTACACTCGATCGATATGCCTGTTTAATCACCGAAACAGCTCTTGAACAGTTAAAATGTGACTTGATTTAACCTGTATATTAAAGCTGTCTCAATAACAGTTAATTAAAAAGCATCAAATGACATTGCAAATAGATATTTTCTTAATCAATTAGCGAACTACGAAGTACTTACCTTAACAATAATTTGCAATATTCCAGTGCACTTCGATGACAGCCCCGTTCACTAATTTTCAAGATATAGCGGAAAAGTGCTACAAACAAACCACTTTAGTATCAAGAACAGAATAATCACCAGCAAAACTCACCGATTGACTTGACGCTTAAAGTCTAGACGACAAGAACCGTTGAATGGATTAAAGGATGGATGGAAAGCTGATTGAAAAGCATGGAGTGCGCGTTCTAAAAAATGACATTATTTAACTAATTTAACTTCGCTCACCCAGAAGATCAGTACCTACAGTCGTATCTTCCTGGTGCATCATTATTTCACTCAACTGTAGTAAAGAATCTATGTGATAAGGATTTTCATATAATATACTCTGTGGAGAAACTTATAATATAAAATTCATTCTTACACTCAAATTATTTGGATTCATGGATTCTAAAGCATTGTAAAATGACCTCTGGATATTTTGATATTCTTTACTGTGTACGAAAGTATATGAACCACAACCCAAAGGTTCCATACTCAAGCCAATTCGAACAGTAGGTGGCCAAGTGGACTTTATCGATACAAGCATACCACGTTTGACGCGACTTCGTTTTCTTCGTAAATATGTTTCGGACCCACCGATAACTTCTGACCCAAACAAACGACTAAGTTCTCCAACATGATCTAGCATCTTGATATTTACTTTTAGCAAATCTATCACTTGTTTATTTTGATCAGCAATCCCTGGGTCATTTGGAAGTTTTATATTACCTAATTGGTAGGTTATTCCAGTTTTCTGAGGAAAACACGGAATATCATAAAAAGCAACTTACGTCCTTTTGCTTATTTTTTTTCTTTTTCCGCTTTTTGGATTTAAAAGATTCACAATGATCCTGAGGATTGTCATCAGAGGAAGGAATAGTTATCAACTGTGAGGGAAAACAATTACTGAACTAATATGGTAACTGATATGACTGAAAAGCTCACTTCGGAGAAAACAGAACCTCCGGTGATGGGATCGTCATTATCACTAAAATTATTATTGTCATCAAGCGAATTTTCAGAATCTTTTTTCAGTTTACGTAATACCCGGGAAGACATTACGATCAAATAACAAAAGAACTAGAGGTAAAAGTAGCAGTAAAAAGATAAATCAGATATATACATAAGGAATTTTGACTGCCTAACAAAAGTAACTATGTAACTGATATGATGGGAAGAAAAATCAATTTTCGATTGATTTACTCATTGTGAGTTTTATTCAACATTACATCCATTCTAATTCAATGTGATGATTATTAAATGTAATATTTGTTTTCTTTTCTCGTATGATATTTTATTCAGTATAATATACGATATTCTTGTATTCCATTGACACGAACTATAATCAGTCTGTGATTTGTTATAACTCTAAGTATTTTCCACACATGTGATTTCATCCTAATTATTAATCAAAAATGGGTGTAAAATCAATATATAAACCAGTGTATTTTAGACTATTTTGATCATCGTCGTCATCGTGTTTTGGGGCTAATAAATCGTCCCCGAATGCCCTGGTACGGCCGAGAGTGGGGTGAGTCCGCTCTCCCTCTCGAAATACTCTCACACGGTCGCGCGTATACAGCCTCTGCCAGGGAAGTCCTACTCATTGCCTTCTCGTGGCGGGGGTGTTGTTTACAAAAATGAGAGGACGAAAAGCGAATGTCCGGCGCTTTAACCGGATCACAAACCAATGGTTCACATGGGCTCCAGTATCCTGTGGGAACAAATGGCGTATGAACCAATCGTTGGTCACCGGCTACCATGGGATTGCATCTCCTTACGATGCTCCACTGCCTTGTGGGTTAGACCTTTAGGTCAAAGGCTCGGGGAGTGGCCCCCTAAGAAAACCACCTGCTTCGGTTTGGGCACCCGGGCAGTATCACAGCCCACACACAAACGATGAACTCTATGTCTTTGGCAACTGCTTTTATCGCTCCGAAAAATAAAAACAATCAATCGATTCAAATAATTATCATTACTATTATTGTCATTATTAATACTATTATTATTACTATTATTGTCGTCATTATTATTATTATTATTTCCCACATTATTCACCCTCTTTCATACTTATACAGCGGCTCGGCTTTGGTGGAAATCCGACTGTATCTAAACGTTCTCGAGTCACTGTCCGGTTGAAAGTTGTATGTTACCATCGAATATGAGTACTGAAGCAGTTTTTCTGAAACCACGTGCGCCATTCAAACTGGCTGCCTTCAACGTTCGCACACTTATGCACGTTGGTCAACAGATAGGGCTGGCTATGTCTTTGGAAAGTCTTAATATTGATGTTTGTTGTCTATCCGAGACCCGTATTCAAGACTCTAGCGAAGTACTACAAATTCGCTCTACATCTGTCACTTCAAAAAGCTTGTTTTACGTGCGCTTATCCGGGGACCCTGTGGCATCTTCGTCTGGTCTTGCAGGCGTTGGTGTCGCACTAAGCGCTAGAGCTGAGGCAGCACTAGTCGATTGGATCCCCATTAACAGTCGGTTATGTGCTGTTAGATTAGAAAGTTCCATCAAAGTGAGAAGAAATCGGCGTGAGAAACGATGTCTTTTCGTCATCTCCGCCTATGCCCCGACAGATTGCAGCCCGGATGCAATCAAGGATGAGTTTTACCACCAATTATCTGTTCTTCTCCAGAAAGTGCGTTCGACAGATATTGTAGTACTAGCCGAAGACTTGAATGCTCAGGTCGGGCGTCTAGGCACAGAAGAGAGTCGTTTAGGTGGCCGATGGGGACTCGTTGGTCGCAGGTCAGATAACGGGGACCGTCTACTGCAACTTGCACAGACCACAACCTGTTTCTGGCTAGCACTAACTTTCGGTACAGTCATCGCCGATGTGCCACCTGGCGTCCTCCCTCTGCATCCCAAGCCTGGACTCAGATTGATCACATCGCGATCAGCTACCGCTGGCGTGGTTGTGTAAAAGACTGTCGCTCCTTTTGGAGTACCTATCTGGACTCTGACCATGCCTTGGTCTGCGCCAATCTTGCCTTACTTTTCAGTGGACAACGAAGTGAACGCCATCAACGGATTGATGTTAGCAAGCTGGTTGCAACTTCTGTTGCAAGTAAGTATCGAACCGAGCTAGCCTCTAGGCTAGCTACCACTCCACCGAAAAGTATAGATGAGCATTGGTTGCAATTGCATGACGCCATGAAAATGGCGGGAACAGTCAGTTGTGGGTTTGCGAAACGTCCCGCTTATAAGCACTGGGTTTCTTCTGGTTCCTTACAACTCATTGAAGCCCGTCGGTCTACTCCGGGTGACCGTGAGTTTGACCATAAACGAAGGATGTTATGTAAGGAAATCGGGCAAAGCTTGCGTAAGGACCGAGAAGCCTGGTGGTCGAAGCGTGCTAATGAGCTGGAAGCAGCAGCTGCATCTGGTAATTACCGGAAGCTCTTCCAGCTCATCCGAGCCACTGGCAGCAAGAAGTCTGGTGTGAGTGAAACAATCTGCGAGGATGATGGGATGCCAATCACTAACATCCATCGACGTCTTGGACGGTGGGCAGAATTTTTCGAAGGGCAGTTCAACTGGTCTGCTGCTCAGGCAACATCAGTCAGACGGTCCTGCTCTCCATGGCCGGTGACGACTGATCCACCAAACGAGGAGGAAGTCCGCAAGGAACTCCAACTCTTGAAGCGATACAAATCACCTGGCCCAGATGACTTACCTCCGGCTCTTTTTAAAGATGGTGGTGACTTTTTGACTAAGGAATTGACGACGTTGTTGACAAAGGTTTGGGAACTAGAGAGTGTGCCAACGTCATGGAATGAGTCGATAGTTGTCCCTATCTTTAAAAAGGGTTCACGTCGTTCCTGTAACAACTATCGGGGGATAAGTCTACTTCCGATTGCGTCCAAGCTATTGGCTTCCGTCATACTTCGTAGGTTGTTCAAAAACCGAGAACGATTAGCTCGCGAGGAGCAGGCTGGTTTTCGTTCTGGTCGAGGATGTATTGATCATATCTTCACCCTCCGCCAAATGTTAGAACACCGCCATACTTATCAAAGGCCAACAATCGTAGTGTTTCTTGACATCAGGGCTGCCTTCGATTCGTTGGACAGAACTGTTCTCTGGGATTGTCTATTGAAGAAGGGTGTGCCTGAGAAGTTTATTAACATCCTAAAAGCCCTGTATAAAAACACCTCAGGCAGAGTGAGGGCATACAACCACCTTTCTCCATTGTTCCATTCGAGTAGTGGGGTTACACAGGGTTGCCCAATCTCACCATTCCTCTTCAACTTTGCCATCGATGACATTCTGGAAACAGCTCTGATGGATGTAAGTAATGGTGGTGTGGATCTGTTGCCTGGAGAAAGACTTCTCGACCTTGAGTATGCGGACGATATTGTCTTACTGTGCGATAATGCCCAAGGCATGCAATCCGCACTTAATCAGTTGGCAATCAGTGTCCGTAGGTATGGTATGTGCTTTGCACCTTCGAAGTGCAAAGTACTCCTACAAGACTGGCAGGATTCCAATCCTGTACTCACCCTGGATGGTGAACAGATAGACGTAGTCGAGAAGTTTGTGTATCTGGGTAGCTGTATAAGTGCTGGTGGGGGTGTGAGTGATGAGATCAATGCACGAATAATGAAAGCCAGAGCGGCTTATGCCAATCTGGGCCATCTATGGCGCCTTCGTGATGTTAGTCTGGCCGTAAAAGGTCGGATCTACAACGCGTCGGTGAGAGCAGTTTTGCTCTATGCTTGTGAAACCTGGCCTCTCCGAGTTGAGGACGTTAGACGACTCTCTGTGTTCGATCATCGCTGTCTCCGAAGGATTGCTGACATTCAGTGGCAACACCATGTCAGTAATGCAGAGGTTCGGCATCGTGTGTTCGGGCACAGAGATGATAATTCAATTGGTGTCACCATCTTGAAACACCGACTTCGGTGGCTTGGACATGTTCTCCGAATGTCGTCCCAGAGAATTCCACGTCGTGCATTATTTGCCGACTCTGGGACTGGTTGGAAGAAGCGGAGAGGTGGTCAGTGCATGACATGGTGTCGTGGCATGAAAGAAAGCTGCAAAGGACTGGCGTGTGTTGGTTCTTCACGACTCCCTGGTTGGGGTCTGAGAGATGGTGCTACACAGTGGCTAGAGACGTTATCAGATATGGCTCAGAATAGAAGCCAGTGGCGATCCTGCTGTAACCTTCTTTTACTTTCTTCATAAACAGTGGTTGTGTCTCCCTTACCTGAAAGATTTCTTCCGATTGTACCTTTGCGTTCCCTGATTACTAGCACATTACCTTACACCAATCTCTTCGTTATTGTTCTCTCTTTTTTTTGTTGCGCTCCTTAGCTTTTTTTTTTTCTTTGTATTCCTCTCGAATTTTCATTGTTTTGTGTGGCGCATATATATTGGCGCTCCCCTGTACCAATATTCATGTGTCCAAATAAATAAATAATCTTGTGTTCTTACTTCGCAACGTGGGAATTGCAGGGGTCCCTCGTTCCGAGTATATGTGATCAGCACTTTTTTCGGCACAACAATTGCGACGACCGAACATAACAGCAACCACAAACTATCCAACCATATTAATTGCTTGTATTTGGATACTCAATAAAGTAACTGAATTTCCTCCTACAGTCACTCCAGCTATACCTTATGGCTTGTTTCTGAATAGCCCAGTTTGGAGTCCAGAATCATGTAAGAGTTTGGTGGATTTACCTTGAATACAAAGATGGCTTTTAACATCTCAAAGGCCTGTGACAAATCCAAACAATGGAAATTAAGTTGATAGTAATCCTTTTTAACAAATGATGTGAATGAGTCATCTAGATTCATCCGACCCGACCGTTGCTGCTACCTTGACGTGGTGGTCGGGCTTGCCTATCTTGATAAACCAATCGAGCTACACTGGCTAGAACAACCGTTCCTCA